TGAAATAATCTGGAATACATATATATTACGAAAATTTCTCTCTCTCTGTGGTTGGCATGGAACATCTTCGGGGATTCTGTCGGAGGCCACGGAGTTTTGAGGGTCCTACATAATCCTACATAATATCTTAAGAGAGAGCGAGAGAATTCCTCGAATTTGGCAATCTTCTAACAGCTCTCACCATTGCTGGCTATGAGAATAAGACGTCTCCAAGCTACCCATCGCTAGTAGTAATAGAAGCCATTCCTTTTTCCATCGTCCATATATCGCTGGTCCCTCTATACGTTCAAAATCTTTCCTGACCGTATCAGTCCATGTCTTGATTGGCTCACTTCGCTTTGACGCCATCCATCACACGATTTGGCATTCGTTATCACTTAATCCGACTCAAAATTCGCGAACTCCAGATTTATGCTGCTGGTTCGTTTAATAGTATAGCATTTAGCTCGAATAAACTTATAAATAAATAAATAAATAAATAAATAAAATAAATAAATAATATGAAATAAAATGAAATAGAATGAAATAAATTAATCGATGAATTTTTATAATAATTGTTTATTTGAAATTAATCTTAAAAATTTTATTTTTATTAAAATAATCAAATTTAAATTTGGATTATTAATTTTAAAATTGATCTCTCATTATTTTTGAAATGAAATGAAAATTATTCATATAAGAATTTACTTTATTTATTTATTTTTTCATTATTATTTATTTTTTTCTAAAAATATATATATATTTTTTTAAGAACACCATTAGGATCACTCGGCTGATTTATCGCACCAATAAATCGACTTATTAGCTAGTCACCTGGAAATAGAAGTATAAATGGATGGACGGTTAGCAAATCTAGAATTTTTCAAAGAAAGCTTAAGAATAAGAATAATAACCAACTGAGCCATTTTCGCTATTTTTTTAAGGCTTTATATGCTACAATGGAATCATAAAACTTTTAAAGAATAAAAATTCTTTAAAAAAATTACAAAATCAGCAAAATTTACAACTATTTATAGAAAGGCGAATTAGGCAAAAATGCGCTGGAGATATAGGGAATCGAACCCCAGCCCTCTCCCATGCTAAGGGAGCGCTCTACCCCTGAGCTATATCCCCACACACCCATTTAGTCAAATTTATACTATTCATAGATAAAAATTGAATTATGAACATATATGACTTTTAGTGCTGATAAATACTACTAAGCTTCAGTTCGTTTTTTGTGTATAATCAAAGAAAATTTTGACAAAAGTGAAGATAAGAATATATTTTATTCGGGCCTATTGGATCTCTAAATTGGAGACCCGCTGGAACCTTATGAACCTTCGAGATTAAGAAAGAACTTCTGAAGTTGTTGAGCAAAATGAACTGAAATTATTTATTTATAAAGAAAACAAAACTCTTGCTCAAATACAGCTTTACTATATTCCCCTTATCACTTTGCATTCTTGTTTATCACTTTCAATTCTTTGCATGAGATTAAGAAATTAAATTAAATACATTAAATGATTAAGTAAAATGAAAATTTTGGAAAGAAAGTTTTAATTAAATGTGATAAGAAATAAAGCTTATCAGAAGATTTTCATTTATTATGTTTCATTTCAATGAGAACGATTTTATCTTATCGATTTGATACATAAATTTTATAATGAATACAGCATCGCTATAAGGTTAGCAGTGAGTTGGGAAAAATGCTCTGGAGATATAGGGAATCGAACCCCAGCCCTCTCCCATGCTAAGGGAGCGCTCTACCCCTGAGCTATATCCCCCGCGTCTTTCATAATATCAAATTCCTGAGAAAAATAAGGTTTATCAGCAACACCTAAGGTGCATTTGAATATGAATGGGCACTGAAGTTAATGAATTTGAGTCGTCCTTTTGACCGGTTCCACATGATATCTCGTATTTGGTAAAGGCTTCTCGTCATGAGCCATTACAATTTCAATATTCATAATAGATGGTCACTCGATTGTCCGTACTTTTTTTTAGACTGCTCTCATGAAATAATAAGTGTCTTGCACTTGTGCGGAGGGGCTGAGAGGGAGGGGGGGGGGGGGGGGGGGGGGGGGGGGGGAGAAAAAGGGAAGGAGGGAAGAGGTATATAAAACGATGCCTGTGCTTTCGCACTTGCAAGTACCTTTAAATAGCAATCTGATTATTACAATTCTGCATAGTTCACATATCGAAATGTTCAATTATCCCTTTTTTTTGCTCGGAAAAATTTCCCTATTGGCCAAAATTTCTTATTTTATTATCAAAATTATCAAAATATATTTATATATACATATATTTATATATTTATATATATTTATTTATAAATATATTTTTGATAATTAGATGGCCATTTTTATTGAAAAAATGGAAAAAAAGGCTGGAAAATAAAAACCGTACACCGCAAAGCCAGCAAGCTGAAAGGTGCGAAGAATTAGAAATCCACATGCTAGGAAAAAGCAAGGGCTACATCAGAAGCCCTCGAGATTGGTAAACAAAGGCTTCTAGCATTGGCTAAGGAGGTACAGTAGAGAAGCAGAGGCTCAAGAGATAAATATCCTGTTCTTTAAGGAACCATCCAAGGTGTAAAACTTCAATTTCTCTTTCCAGTAAGCGATATGCAAGCTAAGACGTTGGGAAAAAAGAGTGGCTTCACGATTAATTCCAGGAATGGCAATGGATCGAGAAGCTTGAAAATGTCTTAGGCCAGTGGAGCAAACTAAATCAATGGTATCGATGAACTGCTCGAAAACGATGAAATTCTATTCTCAAATGTTTAGCTTATCAGTAGATACTTTATCATAAATGAATATATGGTAAATTGAACTGACCCTATGACCTGATATTTCAAAGTATAAATAAGGTTATAAGGTTATGAACGAAAACTCTAATTCTATTACTTTTTTATTTGAATATTTTGGTTGTATTATTGAATTACTTCATTGTGTCCCCATTTCATGGCATTCCATTATATTTCAATTTTCTCTTGCGCCATACACTCCTAAATGACCTGCATTATGGTAGAATAAATTGGGGGCATTAGACGACACAGTTATCTTATTTTTTTTCTGAAAAATGGGTTCACAACAAATTTTTCTAATACTTTCCAGCTATTTTGTTTTTTTAGGCGATTCATCATTTTGCGGTAATTCAGCATTACCCTATTCATTTGAGGTGAATTCTTGTTAATTCTTTAAATATTTAAATTTACATCTATTTTTGACAAATTGAATCTAGAAAAAAAACTAAATTAAAGAAACCAATCCAAAGAATTTTGAAATAAAACAGATGAAGTAATTTTATCAATGAGCCATTCTTTCTATGCTATCAGTGGAGGAATAATCACTATTACTACATATATATATGTGCGCACGAGTGATGGTGGCGACTCATTTGTACCTCTATCACCGAATGAAATAAACTGTGGTAAACCAACGTAACCAAAAATGATTCTTAGAAAAATTTATTTACTTCTCGTCTTATAAGATTTTAACAGATTGTGAATAATCGAAAATAATTCTTAATGATTAACGTAAATAATGGTTCATAAAGTTATTGTCTATTTATTGTCTTTTATCAAATTAATCAGTGATTAATGATTCTAGGTTGCCGCTGACGGCCAACCGATTTTGGGTTGTTTGCAACCGTTATGCTTTCAATTCACAGATACTGGAAATATTTCTAAAGATCGCTCTATTTTTTACAGGTTTTTTTTATGTTTTCATGAAACTTTAATAGATTAACTATGTATTTATCATTTTTCTTTGCTTATGAATTATGACAATTGAATTTATCGGGTAAATGCACCGAAATTTCTAAGTTCTTCTTTATTTTTTTTTTAACACCTCGCACTGTTACTGCTTTACTGGTTACACCACTAGCTGAGTAAAACTGCTTAATTCAACTCGAGAGACACTCGAATAAGAAAAGCCATTTCTTTTCGCAACGATTCTTCTAAGCCCATATATCCATCCGCCTTATATATTCAGAATCTATTAGTCCCGGACCTTTATTGGTTCTTCTCGCTTTTCACGCCATTCATCTTTTTTGCACCATTTTATATATAATTTTTATGAAGGATTTTTAAATTTTATTTTCATTTAAATTTTCCTATTTAATTTTTTATTTGAATAAATTGAATGCAATGTAATGATATATTTCATTAATTAGAATATAAAATTAAATTAGAATATAAAATTATTAAAAATTAAAATTAAAAAATTACAAATTTAATAAATTCATTAAATAATCATTTGATAAATTTAGTTGAACTATTGCAGAATTAACGGAAGAAGCGATGGATATATGAAAAAAAATGACTTTAAACAGAAAGAAAACCGACCCAGAAATATAAATATATATTCAATGGTATTCATTGTTTTTATTGCCAAATAATAACTTCAAATGAATGAGGATTTTCACCCTAGGGCTATCACAGTCAGTCCTAATGATTTTGAGAAAATTACGTGTTTGAATAATAGCCTCAGGCCGACTTGGGTTGTGGCCAATTCAGCTATGGTCATGAGCTAATGAGTTAGGGATAATTCTTGTTTATTGTTCCTTGTGCTCCTCCCTTCTTTTTATTTAATATTCATATAACATTATTAAATAATATTATTAAATTAATACTAGCTTAAATAAATCTTATTAGAAATATCGTTCATTGCTTATCGTTTACGAGGGGATATCCTAAATTTTTGCAAATCCAGATGGACTAAATTAGGCTTTTAATCGGCAGACTTTGGATAATTTTCTTCATTTTTCTTCATTTTTTAGGTGTCTAAATTCTTTTGCTTAAACTGTAGTCTTTTAATTCTTGCATAATAGAACTAATTATCGTTGTTAATGTCGAGAGATATTCTTCGAATTATTCAAAAGCTTTATAGCTGATATTCTATATTTATGAGAATAAAAATAGAGATTAATTGTGGTAGCACACCTTTTTAAAAGCATTTAAACAGGATTTAATGCTTTGAGAAGACAAAAGAGCCATCCAAAGAAGACTTTTTTTCATGGAACAGAATCCGAAGGTAAAAAAGAAAGAATGCAAAGGATTTCAGGAATGTGACGAAAAATATTCAGATCATTGCAGCGCAACTTATCAGTGGATTGGTGGTATTGCCCCATCGACAAACGTCTCACAAAATAAGTAAATTTTACCTTTATTCCTATGACTGAAGCCCAATATAGTAATCCTAAAATCTTATTTATTTATTTTATTGCATCAAAATTACATAGTTATTACTGAATCACAATATTGGAAATTTAGAAAATATATAAAACCAATGCATTTTTAAGGTTATTACTTCGGTGTTGTTCATCAAAATGGTCCTTGGAACCAGTGGATCGAGGAATTGTTAAAGTAACACAAGGTCAAATAGTATCTGGCGGCGAACAAAAGATCCAAAATCGACATGTTTTCGATTATATTTCTAATATTGAAAAGCATGTGAACGATGATAACTTGTAAGTTTATCAAAAGGATTTCTTCAATTCTTTAACTGAAGCACATGGAATAGTTTTTTTCCAATTTTTATTCCACATCATTATTTGGCTCGCTGACGATTAGCTTAAGGAAGACCCTTTCTCCAGGGCTCACTTCAATATTCAGTTAATTTTTTTCACATTTGATGATAGATTTATTTTTTTAATAGAAGTAAAACCCATATGATACATGAAATTATATTCTTGGCCAAATTATGTGGCACGAGACATGGCCGTTCGTTAAGAATATTTAGGCTGCCTAATATACTATGAATATTCTGTTCTGTGTTTTTTATTTAAGGGTCACCTATATGGTTTCATTTAAACGCGTTTATTGTACTACAAATCTACAAAATCAAGGTATTGACTGATTTATTTTTTTATTATTTTAAAAAATCTTATTGTATCTTCTAATCTTATTGTATTATATAAATGTTTACCTAAGTTGTTTAAAAAAATGTATTCATTCAAGCACTTCTGATAATTTTTATCAGTCTTATCAATAGATCTAAAAAATTTTACTTTAGTACTCGATGATACTGCAAAAATAATCATTTCAACATTAAATTCATCTGAAATAAGGAAACGACCAAGAAAAATTAAAGAACCTAAGCAAGCTTTAGTAAGTTTCGTAGTTTTTTTTGTAGCCTTTTATTACTTTTTAAAAATGAATCGAATTCAGAACTTTTTTCAGAAGAAAGTGATTAGTTTATCCGCACCTACAACTAAATCTTCCTTATCTACGTTATCACCATTAGTGCAATTCAATTTGAATTCACCAGTTTATCAAGAAAAGCAGCAAAATCTATTTGGTGGTGGAGCTACTCGCCGAGATCTTCAAATTCCTCAACAAAATCAATTCCCTTTCTCAAATCAAGATCGAAATAATTTTGTTCAACAACAACCATTGACCAAAGCTTTTCCACCTCAGCGAAACTATGTGCCACCAAATGAATATGGTATTTATAAAGTATAAATTATACATAAATCTAGTTTAAATGTAACTTAGATGTTCTTCCCTTGAGGACGAAAAAGAGCAGCGAAGTAGTAGGAGCATTGAAATGCAAAAATTTGGATCCTGCTCCTGGTAGAAGTCAGCTTGCTGGCCATCTATTTTCTATGAACCAAACAACTCCCCTGATGAAAATTACTATTCGTGATAACAACCAGTGGCGCCAACCAATTTTTTTTAACTGTTAACAGGCTTTGAATAAATATTTCATTCTTGATATTATATATTACCTTGATGTATTATCTATTATCTTTAACTAATTTTCTTATAAGTTAAATTCATTATCAATAAATTAAGAAAATTTTTAGGGGCCTCACCATTAGAGGAAAAAAATGATCTTTTTAATAATGCCTATTCAAAAGAAAACGCTCAACGTTATCTACCAGAAAATACCGATTATGGATCTTCATCTGCCGATTATTTCCAAGCATCCTCCATAGATCCTTTACTTCCACTACGACAATTACTGCAAGCTATTTTTCGCGTAGGTTAACTTTATAAAAGTACCATTTTTACTATTATTATTATTATTATTATTAATGAATAAAGTATTTGTAACGAGTTTGACGCTATATATGAATGCATTTTTCAACTTTCTAAATGAATAATATAAATTTGCTTAATTTGGAAAATTATGTCACAAATTTGATAATAATTCTGGTTGGATGAAACCAATCCACTATTTGCACCAAATGTTTCACTAAATTTTGCGGAAAAAATAAAAAATAAAATAATTTTTCTTATTTTTCAAAGCTTTTGTCTAATTTTGTCTTTTGTCTTTGCCTAATTTTTTTTCAGCAATGAAACGAAATATTTTTATAAAGAAAGCATTTTTTATTAAACAATTCTCATTTATCATAGTGGGCACTAAAAAAAAAACAAAAAATTTAGAAAAAACAATCAATCACCGGTTTCAGAAAAAGATCGGTTTATTTAATCAATCACAAGATATTCCTAAAATGAGGTAGGAAGAGAGAATTAATTTTCTAATATTGAATTACTTGCAAATTTTATTTTCTAAGATCACTTATAGAGGTATATTTCCATGCTTTTTTGATGGATTCGTTAGTTTTTTCGATTCGAGTAGATTTAAATCAAGGCAAATACGTTTACGAGTTGTATGAGGATCAATTATGTCGTCGACAAAACCTATAATATAAGCAATTATAGTTTATGGAAAAATTTTTGGAAAATAAAAAATTTTCCTTATTTTAGCAATAGTTGAAGAAATTTAATTGTTCAGAAAGTATCAACGTCATATCAAAACATTGATCATATTTACTATAATATTTACTGATAATATTCAAAAATTAATATACCTCTGACAGCGGCTGGGAAAGGATTACTGAAAAGATTGATATAGTCTTCTTCGTGCTTTTGTACATTGGTTTTATCACCGCGATATAAGATACTAACAGCACCCTAAAATAAATATTTGTTATTATATTCATTAAGATTTTTTTTCGTTTGAAGAAGCACTATAGGGTATTTGCCTTGGTACCATTTTACTAGAGTGTTAAGCATAAGTATATAAAATAAAAATATTTTAGCGAAAGTATATGGAAATATACCTTAGCACCCATGACGGCAACTTCTGCAGTTGGCCAAGCATAATTTATATCGCCACGAAGATGTTTTGAAGACATTACATCATAAGCGCCACCAAAAGCCTAGAATTTTTACATTTAAAATTTGAGAATATAATAACCATTATTACAAACTATATTTCTTTTACGCTTATTAATTACTAAATGAGTGGTACTGAGAAGTAGGAGGACAGGATTACAAATCCAAGTAACTGATGAAGGAGTTTCAGCTATGCAGCCAATCAAGCGAAATAATGAGTGCTCTTAGAAGAAGGATAATTGCAATGAAGTTGTTTACCTTTCTCGTAATAACGGTAATCTTAGGTACAGTAGCTTCTGCATATGCGTAGATCAGTTTAGCTCCATGACGAATAATACCGCCATATTCTTGAGCTGTTCCGGGTAGGAATCCAGGAACGTCAACAAGTGTTACAAGAGGAATGTTGAATGCATCACAAAATCTCACAAATCGTGCACCTTTTACGGAAGAATTTATATCAAGACAACCTAAAAATAATTTTAAAAAAGCAGAAAATAATTTTCTCGATTAAAAATCTTCAAATTTCAATTCTTCTACAAAAAATGTTTTAAAAAATACCTGCAGCATATTTTGGATTGTTTCCGACGACACCAATAGTTCGTCCGTTCATACGAGCAAAACCTACGACAATATTTTTTGCATAATCCGGCATTATTTCAAAGAAATCTCCCTCATCAACCAAAGCATGAATAACATCTAACATATTATACGCAGCCGTACTCTCCAAAGGTACAACAGTCTCCAAACTTGGAACATCACGGTCCCTAAATATTTCTTATGAAATTTTATAGCCTTTATTAAAATTTTCATAATATTCTGGATTATACCACGAAAAATTTGGCTAATCACCAAAAAATCAGCTAAAAAATTTGAAATAAATCCAAATTATTACCAAGGAATTATCTAAAATATCTCGAAATAATGTTATAATGATAAAAATAAAAAAAATTAAATCAACCTGAATTCAAAAAAATAAAGTAAAATTATTTATCTCTTTAAGCAATAATTAATAATTTAAACAATCATTAATAATCGAATAATAATTTTACTGTACTTTTATAATTTGAAACAATTTATTCATAACCGTATAACTTTATTCATAAAAATAAGGCGAAATTATTATTTATTATTAAAAATATCTCGCAAGTTCATAGGACAATGAATGAAAAAAGTCACCATGTCACCATTGCTCCAATAAATCTTTCATTGTATAGTAAATCCAGATTGAAATCCAGATTTTTTGAATAATTAAAAAATCAAACACTTGCTAATATTTAAACTAAGGAAATTAAACTTACAATTCTTATAGAAAATTATAAATTAGCTGATTTTTTCCAGTCAAGTGGACAATATAAAAGTAATTGAATAAAATAGTACCAAGGATCTTCACATGCACGAACTGGTGCTGGATCACGATTTGAAAGAGGTAGATAATTGAATAATTCACGAATGTTTAATAATGCGTCGACATCATTGTCGAAAGCACCATGGGCGACACCTATAAAGAAATCATAATATTGGAAGGAAAAAAACTATAACATTTAATAGTTATAATATTGAAAACGCCTTATTCTTATAGCCAGCGGAGCTAGCCTAACTAAGGTAAGAAGAAGGGGAAGAACAATATGCTGATGGAAACAAACCAGATGTGACCGTATGTGTTTTTGAACCACCCAATTCTTCTTGTGTAACCTCTTCATTTGTCACTGCTTTCACCACATCAGGTCCAGTAATAAAGAGGTACGAAGTGTCGCGCACCATGAACGTAAAATCTGTAAGAGCTGGGGAGTATACCGCACCACCAGCACATGGTCCCATAATGAGGGATATTTGAGGTATAACACCAGATGACATAACATTCGCCTTAAAGTTTTGATTTTTTCTTAGCTTATTCATATATTAATATAAATAAATAAAAAATAGATGAAACGCTACGAAGAAATGAAACTTGGAAAATATGCGCATATCCGGCGAGAGAATCCACACCTTCTTGGATACGAGCACCACCAGAGTCGTTTAATCCAATGACGGGAGCCCCAACTTCAAGTGCAGCCTTAAATATGCGCATCTTTAAACTTATTTTTCGACAAGTAGTGAAATATCAAATTTAAATGAAAGTGATTTTAATACTGAGCAATGAGAAGCTCACCTTCATAATTTTGCAGATTTTTTCAGCATGCACCGATGACAAACTGCCTCCAAATACAGTGAAATCTTGGGAGAATACGAAAGTAGTTCGACCGGAAATAGTTCCGCGACCTGTGACAACGCTATCACCGGGATACTAAAATTTTTGCTAGGCAATAAATGAATATGGGTAATTCAAGTCTTCTGGAACAAAGTATTTATAAGATATGAAGCCAAAGATCGCTTTTTACCTTTTCATTTTCCATGCCGAAATCTTGACACCGATGCTCAACGAACATATCATATTCTTTGAAGGATCCAGGATCAAGCAAGAGATGTACACGTTCACGAGCTGTTAATTTGCCCTAAAAAAATCTTAACTAGATATATGAATTTTTCTAGTTTATTCTAATAAGCATAACAATTCAAAGGAAACTGGCTGTGAAGAAGGATGGCAATACTATAAAGTTACAGTCGTTTCCAGTAACAAAATTATGTAAACTGGCTGGTACAATACTACTAAGTTCCAATTGCATCCAGTAAAGGACCATAAATAAAAAAAATTTTACTCTTTTATGCTGTGAATCGATTCGTTTTTCTCCTCCACCAAGCTTTGCTTTCACTCGCATTTCTTTGATTTTTTCTTGGACTTTAATTGTATGCGTAATTGTCGATTGAAAGCGAATATGCTGAAAATTAATTTTATTAATTTAAAATAAAGTCAAATTTTGAAAAAAAAATTTTTTTTCTATATTTATAATTTGCTATCTGCTAGATAACATTGATATAGGCAAGCGATGTTCGGGAAATGAACGCACATTCCACTAAGAGATAATGGCCTGAAGATATATTCTAATGCACCCTATTGCCAAAGGACTGTCTAGCATATTTGTTTGGCGCAGCCTAGTCTTATAGTCTTATAATGGTAATTAAAAGATTCAGATTAGAGTAGATTTTGAATAATCCAGCGACAGATTTGGAATTGCTTTAGTTAATTTCATACATATCTTCGCATCGAACGGTATGGAAATACCTGAGGTTCTACTCTCCACAGGAATAAGACTGTCCAAAAATCATGCTAGCGACTCACCTGTATTCCCATTGCCAAGAGATTCCCTGGCATATTTATCTACTGTGATAAGCCAGTGCAGCAAGTCTAACCAGTAAGGTTCTTTAAAAAAAATCTCTCTAGCTACAGGAAAAACAAAAATGTTACGAGTCATTAGAAGGTGATTTTTTACGTACAATAAAGAAAATTGAATAGAATTCAAACAACCAAAAAAAAAAATTTAACCGTAGGCAACGAGAATGCTTGAAATTTAGCAGTGGAGATTGCGAACCGAATAAGCATAATTATTTAACCGTCAATTTGCACCACTGAAAGTATTTATTAAATTACTAATTTATGATTTGCAAATGGAAATGGTGCGAACTTAGATGAATGGAAATTATTGTAGTAAATATGGGCGCATAAGGGGCTTTTTGCTCCCAGTGGATTGTTGTTCTCATTTCTAACTCTTAGAAGGAATAAACGTTTTTGATAGATGCGATAATTAATTATCCAAGTGATACTGGCAAGTCATATAAAAATCCATCGCTCTATTAATTTCTGGAACAGAATAAATTAAATTTTGCTAAGAATTTTAAACAATTCAAAAATATCTTTCATTTTGAATTATTTAATTATTTAAATAAATATTATAAAAAATAAAAAATTATAAAAAAAATATAAGAATATTTGCATTTTTTTCTAAATTATATAAATTTAAATTAATCAATTAAATATCAATTAATTTAATTTTTTCAATTTAATTTCTAAAATCCATCACTTCTTATCAAATATTAATTTTTTATCTTTTATTAGTCATTTTTTGCTTAACTATTATCTTTCTCGTTTGATTTCACAATTTCTTCTATCGATTCTCATGAATTTTCTTCCAAGAAAAAGCGAAAAATTTTTTCCATTCGCAATTTTTTCACATGTCAACTATAATACAACTATTGCCAAAATATACAAATAACGCTACGATTCCATGATCACTGCAAAAAAAAAAACTTCTGCTGAAAAAATTTTTCAGTCAAATAAATCGTCAATGAATTATAGTCAATCAAATTAGTAATGATTTGCAAGCGAAATGTTCAAAGAGAGAAAAACCTTAAATAGTTTGAGATTTATTAAAATTTTTTATTAAAAAAATATATAATATAATATAATTATATTTAAAATATAATTTTTTTTCTTTTTTAAATTTAGAATAGAATAAAATATTTAAAATTTTGCTAGCAAAAATAACCAAGAAAATCGATGAATTGAATTTATCGTTGATCGACGAAAATTTTTTAGTTAGTTAGTTGATCAATAGTAATTTTAGTTGGTTGGTTTATTCTTTGGTTGTTTGGTTAAACATTGAAAGAATTAATATGAACTCAACTGTTGAGAATAATTTTTAAATCAATAAAAAAAATTTTACATTATTAAAAATATAAAAATAAAATAAAATATATTAAAATCAACAGTTGTTCTCCACCCACACAACTCTTTTTTGCTAAAATTTTTAAAAAAATTGCTATTTAATTTTTAAAAATTTTCATTTTTTTTTAAAATGGTTTTTAACTAAATTATAAAAATTATAATTATAATTAAACTAAATTATAACTAAATTATAATTTTTTTTAGCGATAATTATTTTTTTCTTTTTAAAATTTTTTATAAATATTTATAAGAATGATTAAAAAATTTATAAGAAAACTAAGTTAATTCCATTTTAATTACACCACACGCTGTAAATGATTTTTAAAAATTTATTATTATAAAAATATATATCAACATATTTTAATATTAAATATATATATATATATATGTATATATACATTTCCGTTTTATTTAGGAAATAAAAATCAAAAATAAGAAAAAAAAGAATGGGGAAATAAAAAAATTGGAGCCAGTACTAGGTGAGAATGTACTGAGGCACTCCAAATAATACCATAAATATTAAGCCACTTTATTTGTAAAGTAGAGATTAGTACGAGAACAATTTTGTATGCAATTTATTACAATATTGCAATAATTTGTAGGAATAAATTATAATTTTTTAGTTTAGCTATCATTTTACTTACTGATTATTTTTTGTATCTTCAATCCACTATCGCCTAATAATTTTCAAATTGAAAGAAAAATTATAGATGTTTTTAAGTATAGCCAAGATCATCAAAATGATATGATACCTAATCAGTATATCAGTATAAATAAATACTCTGAGATTCTCAACGAATCCAATTAATACACCTGAATTTTTCTATGTAATTAATTATTAATAAGCGGTGCTGGTCAAATCAAGAATATATTATAATCGGTATAATTAGAAGAAGCCTAAGATTTTTCATAGGACAGGAACTATGGAAATTCCTTGAGTCTAGTGAGGAAAATATCTCAATAAATGTTTTCAAAAAATACCAAGTATTCATCAGGAATATTCCAGTAGCATCTATAAAAAATTATACGCTGGTACCAATTTTTTTTTCTTAGATCTAAACATCTGATTATGCCAATTAAGTAAGCATTTCTTATCAACGATAAACTAATAACTAATTTTAAAAAAAATTAAAAACTCCTTTACAATTATAGGTTTATCACTCTTGTAGATTCGAAAAACATTTCTGGATTATTCATGACAAATAAAGCAAATAAATTTTTCTATATTGCAAATTTCAATTCAAGTTTTGGAAAAAATAAAAATAAACAATTGATTAAATTGGATTTGAAAGGAGAAGAATTGAATAAAACAAATTATCATTTATTATATGCATAAAACAAATTATCATTTATCATATGCGTGCATATGAACAATAAATAAATAATAAAATTTTTTAAATTCATTTTCAATATTTATAAGCAATAAACGATAGAATTTAAAATGTATGTTATTATTATTTTTATTATATGATAAGAAATTCGTTATAAATTGTTTGCATTTTTAATATTCAAAATATGGTTCACTTGAAATTTTCAGTTTTTGCAGGAAAAAATTTCGATTTTTTTTAAATCGACGATTCATCGTAACAATTCTTTACGCTTTCCATGGATTGTCACCAAACAATCGTCTATTAACCATAGTTATTGATTTGATTTTATATTCCATTAAATTTCTTGAATTTTAGATTGAATTTTAAAATTTTATTTTATATTTGAAATTTTCATATTATTTTAAAAGTGCTCATTATCGCTGGTTAAACTCCGTTACTGGCGACATTGCCGCCTGACAAAGAGTGGTGGTTTATGGCGGATTCGAACGATTCTTCAAAAATAATACAAAATTAACGAATTTTGAGCGAATTTCAAGAAATAAGAAATTTTTTTTATTTATTTCATTAAATGACTATATGTAAAGCTGATAAATTTTCCTTAAGCCATTTGGCTTAGAAATGGATGGTTCAGTGGATTATTGCTCAATTGGGAGCGCCGATGCTGAGGTTCGATTCCCCACAGGAGTAAACCTGTATAAAAATAAACCTGTAAAAAATACTGATGCTGGCGGCTCACCTGTATTTCTATTGCCAAGGGATTCCCTGACATATTGCTCAATTGCGACAAGCCAGCGGAGCGAATTTAACCAATAATGATGAGAACTCCTCAAGAAAAAAAGCATTTGGCTTAAATTTAAATTTGCATTTTAATTTAAAATTTTAAATTTAAAAATTTAGAAAAATTTAAAAAAAATTATTTATAAATTATTAATAAAATTAGCATTAAATTAAAAATTATGAAAATAAAGAAATTTAAATTTTGTATTTTTTAAATTTATATACGAAAGAATTTCGTCGAAAATGCGAAAAACCAAACTATTATACGAAGATTTTTTTATCGATTTTTTAAAATAAATTTTTAAATTCCATTAATACATAGGGGGTTCGAATGGCTCAATGGATTCTTACTTTCATTTCGGAGCATCGACGCTTGAGTTCGACTCCTAATAGAAAAGCTGTCTTCTAAAAATCCACGCTTCTATACTTATCTCTTATTTCTTTGTTTGGCCCGTGCTGGCCATCCAAACGAACCAAACCATAAATTATGAGAATGAAAAAAATTCAAAGAATGAAAAAAAATTCTTAGTAGTTTGAAAAAAAAGGCAGAAAAAATTTTTAAAATTTTAAGCCAAAATTACAGCAAGAAACTATTTTAAAAAATTTTTTTTTCTTAAAATAAAATGAAATGCTTCCTCTAATCGACAACTTCGAAAATTGTGTCAATCAATGAAAATATCAAAAGGTTCGATGGGTTGCTATTTGCTCTCGTTTCGGTACGATGCACCGCCAACTGGCACATAAAATAAATACGTAAAAATTTATTGCACCTCACGAATCCTTAATCGAATAATCAATATATTCGCTTATTTATTGATTAATTTCTTTCAAGTGATCGCCTTGAATAATCTGGAAATCTTGGCTACAAGGCTATCTATTAGAATAGCTCATTTAGTACTGAAAATAGACAAGTTGAGAAAAATTTTGAAATATACAAAATTTAAAATTTTTTCATAACCATCAATAAGTGATAAGAATGATAATTTCAGATTTAAATAGTTATTATTAATTTTTCGATTTTTTACTTATTAAAGAATATTCTTATTTTTTTAAATTTCGCTTATCGCTTAAAATAGAGTAAATTAAATTTTATTCGAGATTTCTTTTTGATAATTTATAAAAAAGTATATTTTCTGCTCACTTAATATATTATTTACTTATTTTATAAAAAATATTAATATTGGTAATTGTAAAAATAAAATCATGAAATAGTTTGAATTTTTTAATTTTCTATTTCATTTTAATTAATTCAATTCTAGTAAAATTAAATTTTTCACTAATTTTTGAAATATTTATAACTTAAATATTTAATATTTAATAATTTATTGATAAATCAAATTTATATTTTTATTTTTCATTATGAACTTTTAATAATTTTGTTTTTATTTTTTATGGTGATTATTATATATTATACTATTTATTGTATTGAATTTATTATAAATTATATTATTTGTTATCATTATAAAAAAAAGTTTTACCTTGATAATTATTACTTTATGAGATATTTTTTTTCCTATTCTAAAAATTCGTAAATATTCTAAAAATTTGTTGTCAAAAGAGAGAAAAGCCAGAAAATATTTTTATTAAAAGCATGCTTTTTATTATAATAAATATTTTGTTTAAAACAAAAAAGTATTATTTATTATTTCTTATCATCATTACTCATTGTTGTTATTACTGTTAACACTTTTCGCAATCTTTTTATTGTGATAAATATTGAAAATATTCAAAAATAAATATTTTTTTGCTATTATCTTACTTTTTATTAATAATTAATATTAATTAATAATAATAATAATCGTTAGTATCACTGTTATTATCATTATTATTATAATATTATTATAATTTTTATATTTTTATTTGCTATTTAACCTTATCGTCTAATGAGATATTGAAATTTGTTCAATACAATCAAATGGCTGATTAATAGGCCACAATAATTATTGTAGAATTATTGAATAGAACCATTCGTATAAAATTTTGATTGGATATCTATAAGGATTGCTTGGTTTCATAAAGAAACCATTTTTTTTGCGAATAAGCACCATATACTTTGGAATTAGCTTCGTTGTGAATATATTTTCATATTTTTATAGAATGGTTCTCGAACGAATTGGTGATTCAGCTGGTAAAGTTTTGGAAAATACTGAAGAATATCACAATTATGTTTCGTGCGATGATAAGATATGGATTTTTAGCAAGAAATGTAAGCAATAATTTTTTTAGGAAAATATTTTTTCGGAAAAAAAAATTGCGCTGGTGATTTACTGGTGAATGATAGAAAATAGGACTCATTTAAAACTAGTTTTACTTGTTTTTTTTTTGTTTACTGAAAATAGAATTCTTTTTTTGTATATAATTTTTCAACCACTCTTAAAATATATCTCTATCTCTATCGGAATAAAATTGCAACCTGGTACAATCTACTTCGGAATATCGCTTTTTTTTCTCCGAGCCCTTTGCAAGAAACGCAAAATGGAAAGAGGTCGGATGGGCTAGCATTGGCTAGGATGTGGGGAAAATATAAAGGAAATGGAATATTCACCAACACTCTGGTTCTCTGATTATAAATAGATAGTACCTTTTGAATGAAAAAAAAATAGTTAAGCAATTTTCTTAGAAAATAATTTTGGAAAATTCAAAATTTTTTTAATTTAATTAAAATTTTTTAAAATTATATTTTTTATTATATTTATTTTTCACTTTTAAAATCTGTTTTCTTGAAAATTTCATAAATTTTTAACTTTTTTTCAAATGTAAAATCAATTATAATGTTTAATTTTAAAATTTAAATCTTTTCACAATTTGATTATGAAATTTTATTATGGCACTTGCTTAAGATGTTAGTTTATTTTTTAAATATTTATATTTATATATAAATTAAATATTTTTATTTAAATATTTTATCTAAAATAATTTTTTAACATTAAATTTTCTTAGATTCTTTATGGATTAGAATATTGTTTCTTTGATTTTGGAATGTTGATGCTAAAATTCTTTCTCAGCTAGGAAAAATAAACTTATCTTTCAAAAGTACCAGTATATTCCGTTGCAATTCTATCGCAAAATGGCTCCATCCCAAAAATTCCTCTTATTGAGCAAGCTAGTGAGATTGGCTTAACTAGAAGTGGTTCACAACAATTAATTGTTCTAATAATAAATTAAAATTAGCATCCGAGCTTCCTTTCAGTTTCCTAAAGCTTAAGGCGACCATTAAATTCCAATAACTGCCAACCGCCAATCCGATAGAGCAATTTTAATCATTTATTTAAAATTATTACATAATTTTCCCCACTATTTACCATTTATAATCAGAATATATCATTTATAATCAGAACCAAGTTGATATTTTCAATAAAACTTTAATTTATAATATATATTTATATGTTTATTTTAATATATTTAATAATATTTAATAATATATTTATTTAAAGATACACCGCAGTCGACATTCAATTATGGTCATCGTATATCGTTTGGCGGCGGATATGCAGCTTCATTCGATACAATCTCGCGCAATTGGTCGCCAAAAATCGAATTTCCAGCTGTATCACTCGAAGAGAACTTAGAAGAGAAAATTTTCGTCCTCAATTCAGCAATTTTAATGCTTTTATATAGCCACTTTGGTGGAATTAAATTTCATAGTCTTTTCATGTGGAATATTGAAAAAATGCAATGGAGTAACGTCGATAAATTTGTAGTATGAATATTCTTTTATTTTTTTAATATTATTTAGTATTATTTATTTTTTTTCTTATAAAAAAAAGGTAATTATTGGAGAATTTTGAAAAACTTATAGAATTTTTTTCATAGAAAAAATATTAGAAAAAATTAGCAGATTTTAAATATTATTTTTTTACTGCATAATAAATATAAAAATGAAATGAAATGCTTAGAAAAATTGCTATTAAAATCGATTTATCGAAATCGAAATAGATAATGGAGGAACCGATAAGCGACCTCAAGGCTAAATCGAAGAAAGCAGTCTTGATTGCACCTTAAAGACCATTTCGCTTCTTTTGAAATCACAATTTTTAACCGAAAATTTTCTATAATTTCCTCTTTATCATTTATCACATATCTTATCATTTCAAATTTGACTGGCTTTATAAGCCAAAGGCATGAATTATTTCAAAATTTTCCAATCCGACGTTATGATTAAGATTTATTAAAGTCATTTCCTTGCTCCATCTTCTAACTTTATACACTTCTTTCAGGAAAGTATCGATAATCCAGATGCACAAGCAAAATCTAAATTGATTATCGTTCATCAAATCGATGAAATCGATCGTAAATCGATGTTTTTCATATCTTCAATAAGGAATTCATTATACGTACATAAACTGCTGTTCAATAACAAACATTCTGCATCGATTTCAATAGTGAATACGATTGAAAATTTCGAAAAAACACCTGTCGTTGCTGCACGGTTATTTTTTATTCTATTAATAAATTATATATATATGAATGTTTTATACATAAATATACTTTAGATTTATTCATAATTTTTACGCAAAAAAAACCATGGGAGAGTGGAATACCCCCGAGTGGATGGGTTTTTACTATCGCTTCGAAGTGCCGATATTCGGTTTCGGCTCCCGGAAAAAACGAAACCTATCTTATGCTAAAATCCGCATGATTCTTGGCAACTTTACCTATTCATCTATCAGCAATTGATAAAATTTATCTAATTCGACAGAAGCAATTCTAATCAGGGAATCAATTAGTATTCGGAAAAATAATAAATTGTTCTTTGTAAAGAAAAAGAAAAAAAAAGTGAAAACTATGAAAAAACGTTTAATGTATTGAAAAGCTGAAAGCATAATTCATTGGGAAATTTATCGAAAACTGATAGTTTAGTGTAATAAAATTGATAAATGTTTAAGATAAGATAATCTTCAAAAAATCTTATTTTTCATCGATATTAAATTATAAAAATCAAGAAAAAAGATGACCTCAATTGTTTGGCAATTTCGACAAAAGCGCTAGCAGAAACTACTTTCTTCGCATATATTATTTCTGATTTACCAGATTATGGGCGATCTTCAACAATTAAACAGATTTCACCCTTAAACGTGTTTATTCCGATAAATTAGAATCCATACTTTTTATCCTCAATAAAAATAATAAAACGACAAATCCGGCAGATCAAAAGAAGTTCAGAAATAAAACAATCCAAGATGGATTTTTTCAATTCCATTTAAAACTGCATTTCTTACTTAGGCAACTTCATATTAGTCCATTCATCAGTACCATACAACATTATATGAAATATTTGTTAATTTGAGCATTTATAGATAAGTAAAACAATAGTTATTTAGGTGGAACAACGAAATCTATATGTTTGGCGGAATTAGTGGTTGTGGATTTCGATTTGATCCTAAATCGTGTTTCATAATTGATATCGCCAAAAAACAAACCCAAGAAATTGAGGTAAACTTTTGGCAAAATTTTTTTTCTCCCAGAGATCGCTTTTTCCTATGTTGTAACTAAAAATTTATGCATACAACTCATAAATCTTTTAAGATGGAAAACGATCACCCTGCGTTCTCATTTAATGGACCACGATACAATTATGTGACAAAAAATGGACGCTGGTATCATGCAACTGGAATGACACAAGTCGGTATGACTGGATCAATTTTTAATGGCGAAATTTGGTATATCGATTTGAACGAAACAATAATAAAATGGTTCAAGGCACCATTAGTAATTCCAAAAATGGATGTTGATTTTATGAGGATTGATGAAAACGATTTTATCTTTATAGCCGATAAGAATGAAGGCGTTTTCAAAGGAGAAATTGCTTCTTCTTGATTTAATCAAAATATTCACTATTGAACCGTTATTTTTGGTTTTATTTTTGGTTTTATACTTTTAACTTATAATTCCTCTTTTTTTCTTATAATGGTTCTTTAATATAATGGGCATAAATTCGTTAAGCTCTCACATTGTTTTTTCATTGCTATCGAAAATTTTTAAAAAATGGTAATTCATTTTGCTTTTAATTTTTTATATGTTTTATGAACACATAAAAGAAATTTAAAAATAATTTTGCAAAATATAAATCTATTGTCAAATTGTTAAATTATAAGAGAAATCATTAAAATTTTCAATTATTAAAAATTATCCGAATAAAAATTAATTTATTAATTTTTTCTTGATCCTTTATTGCCAATCACGATTCGATCTTTTTCGAATATTTCTTTGAAACTTGGTTTAATTTAAAAATCGGTATTGATAGAACCGAAAACACCAAATTCACCAGATGCACCAAAAATGTTCGGAAAACAAACAATATGATTGTGCCTGCAAATGTATTGCCATATATATTAATGGATGAATAAAATGAAGTAATGAAATGGATTGACCTTTTTTTTCTAAAGTCATTCATCATTTTTGGTTTAACTGGCTGTGCTAATTTCTGATTTGCAATGCTAGGCTCTTTTAATACATAGAACAATATGGGTATTAGAAGGATTAACCGATAGAATTAATAAAATTTTTACTTACAACGGCAAGTTTAATTGCTTAATCGAAGCAACAAATCATTTGATCATCCTAACCCAAGATGGATAGGGGATAGAATGGCTCAGTGGGTTGTTGGTCAATTAGGAGCGCCGATTTTGAGGGTTCGATTCGCCGCAGGAGTAAACCAGTATAAAAATACGGGTGATGCTGACGACTCATCTGTATTTCTATCGCTCAAGGAACTCCTTGGCATATTGCGACAAACCAATTGCCCAATTGCGACAAGCGAGTTTAACCAGTAATGGTGAGGGCTCTTAAAAAAAAACCAAAGATGAATCAAAATTCAACTGCGACATTGCAAAGCAGTACACCTAATTTTTTTAAAAGAGATGAAAATTAAATTTCTCTCCTTGAAATCAATTAGGTCCATGAAATAGCCATTTGCTTATTTAATCAAATATTTATTTAAGAATCCTCGGCAAATCATAAAGTCATTAAAAAAATTTACATAGCGGAAAAAAAAATATAAAAGCATGAATGTTATATAAAAAAAAAGCAAAATGCAAAAATTTACAAAAATATCGGTGCAAAATCTATAGATCTGCAAAGCGTATATTAAATAGCTACGAAATTTGATCAGTGATAAGGGAAAATAACAGAAAACATGTTCAATGATAATGAAAGATATCTACTTACTTATCTATCTATGTTACTTCTTTGCGAAGAAAATATAAGTGATGGCAATAAGTTAGTTTTCCTTCTTCTATATTTAAAAGCACAAAAAATAAAATAAATAAAATACTTGCTTTTTATTTTTTTCTTATTATTATTTTATGATACTTTTTTTATTATTTATTAAAATTACATTAATAAAATTTTATTTTTCAACGGAATCAAATCATTTTTTAAAAAAATTTTTTTCTATAAATTAAAAGATAATATTTTATTGAATAATTATTTTTAATAATAAAAAATAATTCGATATTTTATATTTTAAATAATAATAATTTGTAATAATATTAATTTTTTCATCCAATTAAAAATTTATTTCTATTTTTTAACGAATTAAATTGCGATTATAATGAATTATATTATTTAAAATTACTTTTTAATTATGAATAGATAAAGAATTTCATGAATTCAATTCATTGCATCACTTATCGTTTTCATATATTCTAATATGAATAAAATGTAAATATAAATTTATGAGTGGTTGATTATGAAAGGAAAACTTTTACTTTATAAATTCAAATATCAAATAACTTTAGGTTTATAAATTTTTCTCTATTCGAAATTTTCCCAATTCGCTACTTTCTAAGCGATTTGTACATTCTAAAGAAATGAAGAAATATCATAAAACGATGAATTTTGAAATTATGCAAATGCAATTAACTTATTTACTTACCTATTTACTTACTTGAAGTGAGTAGATTTATATAAAGTGCAATAATAATATGATTAAGATGATTGCCGTATAAATATTACTTTATTATATGAAATCTAAATGCACCTACAAGCAAAATGAATCTAAAAATAGAAGATAGTTCACGTTCATAATTTATATGAAATCTAAATGCACCTACAAGCAAAATGAATCTAAAAATAGAAGATAGTTCACGTTCATAATATCGCCTATTTTTAAAATAAAAGGATTAACGTGGAAAATAAAAGCGAGCTATAAAAATATAATAGGCTTATTAAAGTACCAATTTTTGTTATTCTACAGCACTCTTATTATATCTTTTTATTGGGGCTAAAAAGTTTTTATCGAAGAAAGAACTTGGTATTCTCGAGCATTACTTGTATTCCACTTTTTGTTATTGGTAAATTTATTGTCATCAAAGAAACAGTTATAAGATAGATTTATTGAAGTACCATTAATAAAATGCAGTATAATACGACCGATATACTTATACGATAAGAATGATGATTACAATAATGAAAAAGGAAAAAAATTTTATAAAAATTTCTAAAACTGATTTTCGAAGACATTCATCGAATGTTTACAATTTAATTTTATACAACTAAATTTTGAAAGAAGAAATATTATTTATATTATTTATTTATTTATAAATCGTTCTCAAATAAATCTCATATTTATATATTTATTAAATGAAAATCGTGTATATCGTTGCATATTTAAATAGTTCAGTTGTTGTTGATTATTGTTAATTTATTCTATTAATGAAAACTTTTATTCTATTAAATCTTATTTTTCTAAATTTCATCATAAAAAGTGGTAAGAATTTTTAAAAAAAATAATTGTATTAATGTTATTAAAATTAATTTAAAAATAATTTTATTAATTTTTTATTTTCATTAAAATTTTTTGTTTTATGCAAAAAAACAATTATTTCTTAGTTATAGCTATAAAAAACTAAATTAAATTTCATAAATATTTCTTAATTTCAAGTAAAAAATATAAATATAAAAATAGTTTTTAAAAAATATTCAGAGCTATTTTTACTTTTTATTAATATTTTTTTTATTAAAATTTATTAAATATTATCGCTGTCATAAATTATTATTAAATACTATTAGTCATTATTATTATTACTATTAGTCGTTGAAATTTTATAGTTTTACGTTAAGATATAATAATTTTGTAGTTTTATGGTTTAATAACATTTTATAATAATTTATGGCAATTTTAAAAATCGGCTTAGGCTTAGGCTTAGGCTTAGGCTTATTGAAATTTTATTGTAAATCTAATTTATTAATCTTTCTCGAAAATTTTTATTACAAAGAATTTCATCATAAATCTGTTTAATTTGCTAAATATTAAATATTAAAAATAACAATATTAAAAAACCTATAAATTAGAAGTGGAATAGCTAAGTGGTTTGAAATTGCTTCCATCTGTGAGCGCTGGTTTTTTGGTTCTATCCCTGATTGAAATAAATCTTTTAAAAAGTCCTTACATTGCTGGCCAATCTATTACTCCCTGTAAATATTTGCCTCACCAATGAACCGAGTCTAACCAGAAACTGCAAGGCATTTTTCAAAAAAAAGCCTTAAATTATTGAAACTTAGATTAAAATATAATCTCTAAACAAAAAAGAAAGAGAATTAAGACTATTTAAATTTCTTAATAAATGATTCTCATCCATAATTATGATATTTTAGAAGAATGCGCTCCAATCGACTATGATCTTGGTGAGCGAAATATTTTATTTCCTTCCGAACAAGCGCTTGGCATTCCGATACAAAAATCTCAACCGTTATTTTTACGTAACTTTCCTATATTTCCAATTTATTCACTATTTTGCCTCTTAAAAATTCGCAATATGTTAGGAATCTTGCTTCTTTCCAGAGGCCCGATCTCTTCTTCAAAATTATAATCTATTCTTTGCTAAGTATGTAAGCCATATAGAATAGCATAGGACAAATCCTAAGCAGCTATAAGTCAGCTTATTCTTAATTTATCGGAAATTTCACCGAAATCCGTTTTCATTGAATTCCACATCGAGATTTGTCTAATTTCAGATGGAGGAAGAATTGAATCATTAATAGACACGGATGATTTACGTTGCTCGGATTTCGATGAATCCTGTCAATGGTATAATATTGAAAATTCGGAATTATCTTGGTTACGAGGAAGAATTCATTTGGATAGTCAACACATGAAAGTATGTTTGCCTATTTTCATAAAAATATTTCCTACTATTTGTCCAATAAGTGCAATAATTTAAGCATTTTTATATTGCAAAGGCTGCACTTTATAAATGATTTGGCTTTTAAAAATTATAAAATAGCGAGTGAACTTTTCCAAAAAAACCAAATCATAAGTAATAAAAATAATGCTTCAACAGAATTAAGTGGTTGTAATTAACATAATTTGATGGCAGATAGCAGCTGGAACGGAAATTGTACCCAAAGGATTGTACGCTGTGGTTGTGACAGATCGTCAAATGTTTCCAAATGCTAAAGCAGTTTTGGCTAGTAAAGTAATTGAATGTCAACAGGGTATTGGGCAGCTACGTCTTAAGTAAGATTTAAGATTATATAAATCTTAAACATCATAATTCATCAACTATTTCCGACATAATCTTGAAACTCATTCATATTTCGTTCTAGTTACTGGGTTAGCACTGGTGTACGAATTTCTGTTTGTGCTAAACGTACTGGTAAACGTTATCCAGACTTCGATATTTGCACTGATCTGGATCCAGGTAATATTCCTGGTCCTGCATATGTGAACATTCAAGACTTTGAACATCAACCGTTTCAAGTGAGAATATAAATCTTAAAATGGCCATGGAAAAAATGGCCATGGAACTTTGGAGGAATTTCATGGAATTTTTTGCAAACAACAGATTAAGAGAAACTAAATAAATTATTTAGTAATATTCCGCAAAAAAAACTTTATGGATCTCTCAGTATATTATTAAAATTTTCCGATCTCATGCCAAATATCTTAAAATTTTTTGAAGATTTTTATCCGTGCAAACAATTTCATTTATGATTCGGCATCTCTAAAAGGCGGTTTTGCAATTGTTGATAATATCGAATATTATGCTGACCTTTGCACAAACTCACTTGATAAAGTACCACAGGTCAGTTAGTCAGTTAGTTTTATAAGAAAGTTCAGAAAGAAATAAAGGAGCTATTCATGATGTTTGTATATTTTTAGAGGGATGAATTTTTCAAATTTTTCGATTCTCCTTTTTCCGAGTCAACATCGTCAGCAAAACCAAAGGAATTAATTATAAAAAAGATAGTAGAGTCGTCAAATCGGTCAGATTTCGAACAGAACTCAGAAAGAATTGAGCCAGTAAATTTAATAGATAATGAAGTAACCAATTTTCCCTCCCACTCCTCACTTGTCGCTGTCATGCAACAAATTCCTATGAATTCAACGAAAAAAATTTCAAAAACAGCAAAGAAGCTGTACGTAGTTGAAAATACTGATATAATTTCTTATCCGACAAATCCACAAACAAATTCGGTCACAGTGTCCCCCACTTTCTTACGAAAGCCATGTGATGTGCTTAGTTGTACTTTTATGGAGGAAAATTGCACAGGGTACATTAACGGTACTGGCTGGTTAATCTATAATGGTACGAAATCGAACAGTTCGGTTCTCGATAATTTATTAATGGAAAATAATAATGGTTGGTTCCATTTCAATAATGATTTTTATAATGATATTTGTAAATCCGCAGTCATAGGAAGTTTTCATTTTCCAATTTATTTTTTTGATTTTCTTTCCAGAGGTTTCGTTTTTGTATATCATTGGTCCAATCGCAACGTCAAGATTGTTGATTCCTTCATTTACTTCAGCTTTCAATTTCCATTTAATCCTAACTTATAATGTACATCCAAAGTCTTCTAAATTACGTGCGTATGCAAAACTATTAAATGAAGCACATGAACGAAAAATTTTTCAGGTAAAATATAAATCATAAATATAAATATTGTATTGTCAAATTTAGAAGGAGCATCTAAATCTAAACTAATGATCTTCAGCCTCTAAGTCACCGGAAGGGGCTCCCTGGATTGATTTGCCTAGTTTGACGAGCTAGTGGAGCGAGCTTAACCGGAAGCTAGTGAGCACTTACTCTTAAAAAAAGCCCAATTTGATGGTAGTGAAAGAATTGAATAATCATCTGATTACATGAGATTTTCATTAATCCTCAAGCATTTTCAGTCATCAAGACTTAGAACGCAATTCAGACAGTGGCGACAAACTGCGATTCATCTCCAGAAGGGAATTTATGAATATGTAAGAGTTTTATTCCTATAAGGCTTATTTTCTATTAGGCAAATGACTTCTACCCTATTACCACTTGGCCCATATTCTAGAACAAAATATATTTATAATCAAACCCATGAAGATAAAAAGTTTTAGGTCAAAAACTTAGAAGTTTCGAGAAATTTTAACTTTTCACTATACTTATTACATTACTTTTACATTACTTTAACATTACTTAATACATTACTTTTTTATTTTTTATATTTATAACGTTCCGATTGAGCAAATATTTGTAAAAATTCGAATTGTCCAATTATAGTTTTTTAAGAATATCTCAATTTGAGAAAACTTTTAAAGCATTTTAATTAGTTAAATAATTAAAAGGTAAAAAATTGATATCATTTTTACTTGAATTTCCATTGTGCTTAAAGTTTTCCGGAAAATCCTAGGAAAATTTCATATTTTCTATTTTAAAATCCTATACAAGTCCCATAATATATATTTTTGCAATATGTAATTTGCTAAAATTTTCGAAATTTCTACTGAACTCATCATCTTTAACATTCATTGGTAATTTCATTGGTAACTAATTAATTAATAATAATTTTTTTAATAAAAAGAATTATTTTTTTCTAATAAAAAGAATTATTTATTATTTTTTTTACAATAATAATCTTTTAATAAAGAATAAAAATATATAAAAATATAGAAGAAATAAAAAAAGAATTCTTATTTTTTATTAAATTTATTAAAGATTAAATTAAAAAAGATTAAATTTTTATCAATAATTATTGAAAATTTTATTAAATTTTATTTTATAATTCTGCAATTAATATGTCAGATTGCATTCGAAGTGAAAAATTTGCTCGACGATGAGATTGTCGCTATCGGAAAAATACGAATTTACGAAGAAGAAGAAATTTGTCATAAAAATTAATGAAATTGCAAAAATAGAAAATCACTATTATTACTACTGATACTTTTGTTGTATTCAATTCTCGTGGATTTACGGAATAAAATTTAATTTGAAGGATTTTTTTGTTGAATGATTTTGCATTATCGTAAAAAATCGCCAAACACCAATCAGTTTTCCCAATAATATTTTAAACCAATGGACGCAAATTACTAAAAAAGAAATTGGTTCTTAAATAGGGAAAATTTTGGTACTATAAACTGACTAATATTTGCAGTTTATTGCAATTTATAGTAGTGATGATCTATAGTTCATTGTCGTTTCTCCATAAAACTCCATATTCCATATTTTAATATTTTGACACTTTTTTTGGACTCATTATTGTTGTTTAGGCTCGTTTCTCTAGTTTGCCATAGACGCAAAGAAGTTCCTTGACGATAGAAATATAGATGAGCAGCCAGCATAACCCGAATTTCTTGACAGTTCAATCCCTACCTCAGCATCGGCGTCATCCGAACTAAACAACAACCCATTGAGCCATTCTACTTCCAATTCACTCGGCAAAATATTGAAAATTTTTATATATATTTATACATATTTATATATATTTACACACCACGTGCGGAAATAGTGCGGTGGTCGATTAATATGAGCATAACAATAACAGTTCTAATCGCGACCAATCTTCTCTACCTTTCCATTGAAAATCCTTGGTAACGCTTTTTGAAACCTTATCTGCATTACTTCAATCTTTCAGAATTCTGGTGAACCTGAGATTGAGGACCGTACCATTTATTTTTTTTAACTAATTACGCAAATTTTAAGCGAAATTTAAGAGTTGTACGATAAAAATACTGGTACGAGGTCTGTATTTCTGGTGCATTAAGAGATATAAACAAGGTCACATTCGATATTTCAGTTTAATATTCCTATAACCTTTAAAATTCTACCTTTTTGTATGGCTATTTGCACCAATTATTGACATTGCGAAGACATTTTCGTTTTATTATTTATTACGCTTTAAAATTCATAAAAATAAGTTTTCATAAAACGACACGATAATGATCAAAGTTCAAAATGTTCGTTCGTCCGTTTTTCAAAAAAAAAAAATTTCATTCCTCAAGAAAATTGAAAAATGAATGTTGAATACGATTAAAATCTAACGAAATATAAACAAATTTGATAAAAATTTTAAAAATCGACGGAGAAAAAAAGATTTATCTAATTATTTACAAAGTAATAAATTCAAATATTAAAATATTAAACTTCTAAAATAAAATAAATAAATCAAATAAATCATAAATCAGAAACGACGCAAAGAAGCCTTAAACTATTGAGACTTTTATAACAAATAGTTTAACAACAAAGATTAATTTTTATTGGTTTTACTTTTTCATTGTTTGCTGAAACTAATCCACGTAAAAACCATATATAAGTTTCAAAAAAAAAATGCTTATCACTTAATTCTGATAATGTTATATTTCGTTTATTTTGCGTTCTCTTATCATTTCATTCGAAAATCTGGTAATAATTTCGCTTTTAATATATTTATAATTATATTTATACTTATACATACTTATATACTTATATATTTATCTAAAAATATATAAAAATAAGTAATATATAAATATATAAATATAAAAATATATAAATATAATTATTATAAAAAATATAAACATTAAATATCAACAATATTAATAAAATATTAATGGAAATATAATTATTGATTTGTGCATAATGAACTAAAATTAAAATTATTATAGAACAATGTGGTTCAACAATGTTCAACTTGAAGAAAGAACTGCCCGAACCGATTCCTTTCATTGACCTTACAGTTAATGGTAATGATAGTCGTCCTTTCGTCATCTTTTACTATTATTAATTTTAATTCTACTACTTATTATTGCTAATAATAAAAATGAATTCAGAAGAACCATTAGATGATGTTCATAAGCTATATTGTCATTTCGAAGAAGCCTGTGAATGGCACAATCTTAATGTTTCGGGGCTATTTTGGGTACGAACGGGCATAAAACTTGAAAAGTTGGATCTTAAGGTCCTTTTAATTTAATTTTTCTTTTTTACAAATCTGATTATAAAATTCTATTTTATAATTTTTATTTTAGTTCTTTTGTAATTTTTTGTTCAACAATATCTAATAAAGCATTATTTTTCACTTCGAGATTCCTAAATTTTTGCAGGTAACCTCTGGAACAGAAATCACACCTGATGGCTTTTATGCTGCTATAGCTCCTAGTTTTACTTTTGACAAAGACGATGAAGCAGTTTTGGTCAGCAGAAAGATTGATTGTCAAAAAGGTAATGGGCTGCTGAAATTCAGGTGAGAATATATAATTTTTAATTCATCTAGAACACTAAAACTTTTTTTTTGCTTATCAGTCTTCTAGGAAATCTTCTCATTAGAATTTAGAATTTTTCTTAATATAAATTTTTTTAATGATGAGATTATATATAAATATACTTTAAAAGAATTTTCAGATTTTGGACAGGTTTTGGAGCAGTGATTGAGGTATGCACCAAGCGAACTGATATCAATCAAAATTCAAAATTTGAAGAATGCATAAGGCTGCCAGAAAACATAGAGCCTGGACCAGCTCATGTCAAAATAAGAGATATAAAACAAAAGCCTTTTCGAGTATGCATTCAAATTATTTCTATCAAAAATTTCTATCATTGCCAATTTATTCTTGGTTAATCTTGGTTTATCAAAAATTCCTAAATGTCCAAGTATGATAGCAGATAGTAAGGTGAAAAAATGAGTTTATAATTCGTTATATTTTAGATATACATAAAAGCGTCGCATTTCAATCCTAGTAAGACAACAATTAAAGGTGGTTTTGCGATTGTTGACGACATCGAGTATTTTGCTGATTTGTGCGCATCTCAAGTAAATTTCTAGAATTTCAAATTTTCGACCGCCATAACTGAATAATAACAATAATAAATAATATATTAATTGACCAAATAAAAAACTTGCTAATTTTTCAAAAATAGAGCCAAATAATACACTCAAAGCCTATTTTGATAAGCCAATATTATTTAATTGATAGACAATAATCAAACATTGATTTTTTCCGGAAAAATTATCATAGAAATAAGAGGACATTGATGCCGAAATCCAATAAACATTCTGTGCTTTGTTTTTCAATCGCTTACTCGATGCCACGAAGGATATTAGCACAGTAGTCAATATTTGAGCTTTGAATGTCTTCCATATAATTCCTATGAATTTTTCTGTGATAAATGTCAATTAAGTATTGGTTGAGCTCGCTTCGCTGAAAGGGTTTTTAATAGAAGGTCTATTCCTTCCTCACGAAATAAACCATTGACGATAATCTGAACTTCTAACCAGTCGCCTACTCTATTTCCTATTTATTAAAAATTAATTATCCTTAATTGAATTTGAAATGAGAAATTCACCACATCACCAAGAATTATGCCTTTTAGACGCAAACAACAATGAAAACTACAATACCAAAGACCACATCAATAATTACAACACAGACGACGAAATCAGTTAAGCCAGGAGTTTCAAGCAAAGCACCATCAACCACTAATCCACAAGCGAGTACGCTACCTGAACAAACCAGTTCAATTAAAGTGACGAGTTCTCAAAAATTAAACAACGTCACTCTTTCACCAACAACTAATGTTACTTCGGCTAATAACCCTACGCAGGTTGTGACATCTACATCTACATCTAGTACCACAAATACCGTTTTAACGACAACAACAGTAATTCAATCTACGAGCAGCACTCGAAGAAGAAGAAGGAAAACCACAACTTCATCTTCACCAAATACTACCGTAATTCAAACCACTACAATTTCTGCATCAGTGCAAGCCAGCCAAACAAGCCCACCTAAAAGAGTGCTGAAGACGCCGAAGGTAGAGACGACAAAACCATTTCGATCTATTTGTCTTACTTTCGACTGCTCATTCACTAATGAAGATGAGTGCTCCAGTGAAATTCATGGAAGCAGGTGGAAAATTCATAACGGAACAGATGACCAAAAATGGGAAAAAATTTTCGGAAAGCCAATTCGAATAAAAAATGGCCAAGGTTTTTATTATAAATCGTTCGAAAAATGAGCTTTAATATTTTTATAAATATTTATATTTTTTAATATTAGAGCCTTCGCTCTTTCCATAAATTTTGAGCTGAATAAGCATTTTATAAAATTAAATTTACATTAAATCTATTTTTATCATTAATTGACTCCTTAGCGAAATTTTTTAACCATAGTAATAGTGAAATTAGCTAAAAATGGAGCAAAGTCATTTTCATTCTTAGCAAAGCTTATCGCTATTGAAAACGCTCAAAAAACTTTTATAACCTAAAATAGTTGAATTTCACCTGACTATCCAAAAAATTGCTTTTCCTATTCCATCTCTTAAGGCACCTTGAAACTACCGAAGGTATAAATAATAATAATGAGCCTAAACAATAATAATGACATTCGGCTGCTTATAAAAACTCAAGAAAAGAGAAAGACTTTGGGCTAGCTAAGCGAGTATTAAAGCTAATTAGAGATTCATCATTCCTTGCGCGAAAAATATCCCACGAAATTTTCTTTTTTTTTTGAATCATCTCATTTTATTTTCATTAATTATTTCATATTAACCACATTTTTTAGATTTTTATGAATAATTCATAATGAAAAATTGGAAAATTTAACAACTTTTTAACAGATATATATATTCACTAAACAAGGGGAGTAAATGGCAAAAAAAGATTTTCCATCTTTCAATGATTAAAGATATACCATCAACTGAGATAGTAGCTGAGATAGCTGAAAAATTCTGCCAGCGTTTGGAAAAAGTCAATCACAAGAACAAATACTATATCCATCAAAACAATGATTCGGATTGCAAAGAGGCTATAGAAACTGTCCAATACATAGTGGCAGGATATAAAATATAACTAGAAATCGCTTAGGTTTGTTTGTCTGCTCAAGAATTTCTGCATAGTATATGGCTCAATGCAGATAGAAGCACTAGAAGCACCCCTAAGCTAGAAATGCGCCTCCGAAAGATTCCATTTACAATTGATTTACAAATTCTTTCATCATTTTTGTAAACTTTTTATTATATTCATCCATAAACAATTTTAAAACTTATTTTTTTAAAACTTTTTTAGCCGCCGTTTTCGCTTATTTAAATGGCCCCGTAACGGAGTCGAGTTTGTATATTTCTTCTTTTGAAACGATGGATGATTTTCAACTTTTTTTTGCTTATAACCTTCCCTCAGAATTGAGCGAAATTGAAATATTCGCTAAACGCGAAAATGAACGAGAAAAAAGTTTTTTTAAGGTATTTTAATCTAAATTAATTTTATAAATTAATTATCAATTAAAATTTATTTTTTATCAGCTAATTTTTTCATATATTATTATAAATAATAACCATCAAAAATCGCTTTAATTAAAAGTAATCAAATTAAAAAATTGTTCAATTATTTTTTGTCTAATATCGTTTTACTTACTATTTTTGGCTATATTCACTCCACTGGCTTATGGCTTATTAGATTGGCTCAAATTGCTAAGAGTTCAACTAGCGACAATGGAGTAACCGACATTACCAGCAATTTTCTAAATGACTATTTCATTTCTACTGGGGATAGAAACCAAGCAACCTTTTACTAATGAGAGCAATAACCCATATCCTACAATTATCTTATGGCATAATATTTTGTTATTTTGAAAAAAAATTCTAGAATAAAATTTTATAAGAAATTCTTTTATTTATAAGTTTAGCAGAATATATTCATTGAATAAAAAATTATTTAAAATTAAAAGTGATAATATTATAGGCTAATGGAGAAGCAAAAGAATTCACAAGGCATTGGCACTGGATGGTCGCTTCAATGGCAAAAGGCTCCTATGACTACGTAAGTAATTAAGATGAAAAAACTTGAGCTTTTCATATTTTCATGGTTTCAGCATTTTGTCAGCTATCAAAAATTTATAATTTAATTTATAATTTATAAAATTTATAATTTATAATTTAATTTATAATTTATAAAATTTTAATTTATACACACTATTTCATTATAAAATTATAAATTTTTATATATTTTATGAAAATTTATGAAAATTTTTAATTTTCCTTATGACAAATTTTTACACTTAAAAAAATTAATATGGCAACAATTTAAGCCTATAGGCAAAATTTAAAGCAATTTGTCTGTAGTCTGCTTATAACTCCTCTGCAAGTAAGATTTTGAATTTCAGATTGCCGTGGAAGTAAGGTATTTATTAGCAAACGAATATGCCGGAGTTGATCTATTCTCATTTTGTTAATGAAATATGTATATTTTAGTTTCATTCCCTAAAATCGCAATTATTTAATTACTCCATTTAATTAATTCTCGAAAGTCTTAAGTTATTATCAGTGTAACTTATCTTTTAATATTAGTTAATTGTCAATATATTCACTGATAAGTATTTTTCAATAGATAATTTTCAAATTATCAGTAAATAACTTTCAAAATGTTATTTGATGGTAATAGTATTATTATTTAAATTCAATTCATTATCGTCTTAATTCACTTGAAAATCTCAAAATTTATTAAATTTTTTATTTAATCTGTATTAACTGATGAAATTTTTATAATTTACTGCAAATAATAAATTGCTAAAAAAATCTCCGAAAAATTTTCAGCTATGTTTAGAATAATAAAATTTTTTTTAGATTTATTTCATTTTTATTAATAAACGATAAAAAATTATGGAAATGTACGATAAATAATGAGTAATATAACCAATTGCACGAGTAGATTTATTTAATATTCGAAATCTGACCAAAATTTTCGAAGGTAAACTTCTAAGTAATATTTCACCCATATGCGCTATGCCTACTTCATATTTCTTTTTTCTCAACAATTCTTGATTCTCAACTTTTAACATTGGTTTTTATATGGATTAATGCTTTTTCGAGGCAAATTTTGCACTTTTTATAGAGCAAAAATATTCTTTTATAGAGCAAAATCTTCATTTGAAAAATTATCATAAAAGAGCGAATAAAAAAACTATCGAAATTAAGAATATTCATCTTTGAGTATTAATTTATTTCAATTTTTTTGTTTCGTTATTTATCAACATATTTACTGATAATTTTCAGTAGATTATTTTCAAATTGTTATTTATCGATAGATAACTTTCAAATTAGTATTTATCAATAGATAACTTTCAAAATATAATTTGATGGTTATTTAAAAAATTTAAAAAATATTTAAAAAATATTTTTAAATTTCATTCATTATCATTTTAATTCACTCAATAATCTTAGAATTTATTAAATTGCTGAATTAGCTGAAATTTAAAATCTATTTGCTGAAATTTTTGGAAAGGTAAAGACAATTCGAAATCGCCAAAGAGCGTTCCAATCTCTTATCAAATTGAAAATCGCAAATCCCAAATATTGTGTAAAATTTAATGGAGGAGATTTACATGTATATTATTCGCAGTTCATTATCAATTATAACTATAGTTTGATTGCTTATACTTTTCATGATTTTTAGCGATTCGTGCAATTATGGTTCAAATTTAAATGCAAAACCTCAAAGAATAAATTCAACACATTTAATTAAAATAAAAAAAAATGAAAATTCGTTATGCCAAGAGAAATGTAGTCCCTAACATGAATAATTTTTGTTATAATTAAAGATTTTTCTGACTGTCCAAAAGATTTGAAATGTTTTTCATTCGATTATTCGAGCAATTGGACCATTTGCGATTATTCAAAATTCACCCGGTATGTGGCTGATCATTCAACACGAATGCAGATTGTGGCAAATTTTTCCAAATCCAGAATGCAAATTTTTTTGCTATTATAGGAATTCTTTCTTATGGGAAGACTTATATGCGATAGTAATTGCTAGCGAATTTTATCCAATAGATGTTAGCGCAGTTTTGGAAAACTCTATTATCGAATAAAAAAGGAATATTATCATCTGATAATTTCTTGTTTATTCTTATTTCAGATTTCATATTCAGTGCAACTAGTCTTATTGTAAATTCGTTATAAATGTTGGGTAAGTATGGGTATCAAATATTTATATCAATTATTTATTGTACTTCACATTGCTTATACGAAAGTTGAAATTAAATAGAGTGAGCAGTTATTTGCCTCATTTGAGATTGAATTATCATAAATTCAACAAATATCGCTTATCGGCAAAAAATTTTTATTAGTAGTTCGATTCTTCTTCTTCTTCTAACAGCTCTCACCATTGTTTATTAGGCTGGCTCCGCTGGCTATAAGAGTAAAACGTCTCAAAGCTGCTCGATTTGATGCTAGTGGTAATAGAAGCCATACCTTTTTCTAAGTCGTCCATATATTTATAAAATTATTTAAAAAATTCTAAAATTGATTGCTTTAAATTCAATTTTTAGCACAGCTCTGATACTAAATAGTTTGATACTACAAATCATCATGAAAATCAAAGTGTAAAAATGGAAATAAATTATTTTTGAAATTATTTTATTATTATTTACATTTATATATCATTTATATCATTATAATATAACATTTATATCATTTATATTAATTGTTATTTATGTTAATTACATTATTTATTTTTGAATAAATATTCTTCGAAATTCATTTTTATTTTTTTTATATTTTATTTTCCATTGTAATCATTTATTATTGGCCACAAAATAAACATTTGTATATTCGTTAAATATGTTGAATTCTAAATTTTATTTTTTAATTGTTTAATTTAATTCATTTTTTTTCAAATATTTGAAAATCGCATAATTTAAACGAATTTAATGTAATTATTAATCTTGAATAATTTTATATTAATCGTGAATAATTAAATGAGAAAAATTGTAATGCAATTGTATTGTATATCTTTTAAAACCTATGTGTCGTTTAGTTGAAGGAAAGGAGAGGAGAATAGCTCAATGGGTTGTTTTTTCAGTTCGGATATCCTCTATCCTGTATGAGTTAATTTGTTTCTCAAAAATCCGGGTGCGTTGGCGATTCATCTTTTTTCTTTCGTCAGTATCGCCCAGATCTTTGAATGATAATCACTCCAGTCGCAAGTAAAAGCATTGACTCTCTTAAATGAGGCCAAAAATCCACTGAGACATTCTATTTTCATTATAATTATGTATTTCCATTATAATTATGTATGTAATTATAAAAACGTAAGTACGAAAATACGAATGAAATTAATCCTTATTCGAAATTTTTTGGTATCTTTTTAACTGGTTTCTGATTTCCTTAAAATCAACTAAAATTATTTATTATTTAGGCTATGTATAATTTAAATTGTTCATAAAAAGTGTGCAATTCCACTAGATTCACTTTCTATTTTCCAGTGATACCGTAATCAGAATCAAAATTTGGAAGCGATCTTTAATAATCACCATTAGTATTATATTTATTTATCACATTATCAGTACCATGTTATCAGCATTTATATTATCTGAGGAAATACACATCGAATATCAATGTTAAATATTTAAATGATAAAAGTATTTTCATGTAATCATTATCTGCTTTATCATTAGCGAAATCATCAAGTTCATAGTTTGTGATCGAAAATTTAAAAAATTTCGATCGATAAATATGCAAATGAAGAACAATAATTTCAATACTATTTTAATTATGTATGCAAAATACTCCGCTTCGGTTGAATGACAACTTTTATAATTTTCGCTAGTAGCAAGTAAAAGAGTAGGAAATACTATTGCTTTTGCCGAAAGAAAATCGAAGATCGCGATTTTTTTTAGAATTTTCAAAATATTTCCTTATCCCGCATTTTCTAGATATCAAACTATTACGATATCATCATAATTATCATAACTGAATTTGAAATATTTGTCTAATGCGATAAGATTAAAATAAAATCTATAAATAAATCTCTAAATAATCAAAAAATCTATAAATTAAAGTCAAATTTAAAATTTCTTCACGCTAATCACCAATTTTATCAGTCAATATATCTAAATCAACAAATTCATTTCACGGCTCACTTGGACGACCGTTGGCATTTGGCGACTACCATTATTCTGTTCATGAACTCTAGGAGCTATTGTTGCTATGAATGGAAGGACTGAGAAAGATTAGGACTGATTAGCATGAGAGTCAGACCAGATTGTGCAATTTAATCGTAGTGTTCGTTTGAAAATCTTTCAAAATCTTTTTATAATCTATTCAAAATGAACAACAAATATGCGATAAATAATTTCAAAACCATTTATTTTTATTAATTAACTGAAGATTTTTTTTTTTTAGATCAGTCACATTATATTTAACAGATAACCAATATGATATATTCTCAGGATTTCAGTTTAAAAAAATCATGCTATTTGTCATTATGGATGGACGATTCAGACTTTTCTCTCGCTGGATGTTTTAACCGTATCAGTGGCAACTAGAAAGAAGAAATGGTATACTGTATGTTTCTTTTTTTTGTGATTATGCTTTTTCTTTTGGCTATACTTGGAGAATAGAAAAATTGTTCTGCAGCACTGCCTGGATTTTTTATTCATAAGAATAGCCGATAGAATAATCGCTTGATAAGTAAGCAACAATTGTTCGACTACTCTTGACTACTACTTTTTTTTGTTGCTTTAATATAAAATAAAAAACAATAAAATATATAATAAACAATGAAAAAGTGTGAAAAAAAGTAAGAAAAAATATTACTTAAGATTAAACCATAAAATAAACAATGAAAATTAATAAAAATACAAATAATAAATAATGCAAGGTAATTCGATCTAAAGAAATAATATGAAATAAATGAAGTGAGAAGATTTTAGACCAAATTGAGATGAAAATATTTCGCATGCTGAAACATCAAATGTAGCATATTATAAATTATATTATATTATAAATTTGTAAAGCCAAATCATAATTTGTCATATAAATAGTAAATAGCAAAAAAAATAAACAATAATAAAATAATCAAAACTAAAATAAAAAATCAAATAAAAATAAAAAATAATAAAAAATAAAAATAAAAAGCAACAAAAGTGGATAAAAATAATGAAATCAATAAAAAGGAAAAAAAAATTATTTCGAATTATAAATTTCCTATATATATAATTTGTAGAGATTTATATTCATAAATTATTAAACAATTATAAAATATAAAATATAAATTACATTCAATTAAATCAATTTAAATCATTCTTTTAATTAAATCATTTAAAAACTTTATAATTAAAGTAATGAATTTTAATTAACTGCAATTTATATAAAAAATTATAAAATTTCTTATGTCAAATCACAATTTATCGTATATTATAAATTAAAATGAACTAAAATAAATTTCCACAACTTAAATCAAATCCAGAATATTTATTAAATCATAAAATTAAAAATTATAAAAAATGGAAATTTTACAATATTTTGATAATTAAAATACAATACTATCGGTGAAATATTAATGAATAATAATGCAAAGGAAAAAAAATTATATATATAAGTTAATATAAATTAATATATATAAATTATAACTATGATTTAAAACATTGATGACTCAGTTATAAAATAATTGCAACCGAAAATCGTCGTTTGAATTCGAATCCATCGCTCTTCATCTGGCAATTTCGCTTGACGAGCGAAGCAAAAGAAGAGTAGAATTGCTCAATAGTTTTCAACTTAGAGCGACATTATTGAGGTTCTAATATCGACAGGAGCAAACCTGTTCTAAAATCCGAGCTAAACTAGCGAGTCACTTTTATTTCTATCGCCTCTGGCATATTTGTCAAGTCCACAGAACAGCGGAACGAGTCTAATAGCAATGCAGAGAGCTCATGAAAAAATTCAAAAATAAAATAACAATTAATAAAAGAATGCTTAATGTTAAAATACAATATGTTGAACGAAAACAATAAAAAGAATAAAAAAGAAGAAAATTCAAAAATAATAAAAACTTTTTAGCATAAATTTCGCAAATAAATAGAGTTGTAGAAGAGTTAATTTCCTTATCGAAATTATGATTTTAATTTTAAATTTTAAATTTTAAAATGGTCTATTTTAAATTATTTTAAAATTCAAAATTTAAAAGTAAAATTTAAAATTTAAAAAGTTATTTACATACTTTACCAATTGAATTTTAAAATATATTTTTAATGAAAAACTATTTTTATGAACTATTTTTATCAACAATATGAGAATGGACTGGCGACTCACTTGCACTTCTATCGCCCAAGCATATTTATTTATGCAGTGCAACAAGCCAGCGGAGCGAGTTTAACCAGTAATGGTGAGGACTCTAACCAATATAAGAATATGGCTGTTATAAATGAAACCTGCATAACGCAATTAAGTATGGGTGTATCTAAGGAAAAAGCCAAAATCAAAAATCGCGTATTAAAAGAAAATGGCAATTGAATTGTTTCCGCTTTCTTAAAAATAATAACGTATAAGAAAATTGGTTATATTATAATATGCACTAAATCGAGCTATTCAATTATTCTACTACATTTTTCCAGTTATCATTTAGCAAATTTTTACTAACATGCTAATAAAGCTATTCCAGTAGAATGGGCGATAAGACAAGAAAGACCAAAACGGTTCTCAACATATATGGGTGATCCTTTACGATTAGTAAAACAAATAATAAATAAATTAGTAAATAATAAATTTTTCATAGTTCTAATTTCAACAATAATTTTCTATTCATTTCTAAATTTTTGAACGAATTCTACAGATTTCATTAAACTTGCAAGATAGGAATAGCTTATAATATATAAGCAAGCATAATTTTTATTAGTTTTTTTTCACAAAAATTGAAACTTTTTAAAAAATATTATAAAATAATATTATAAATGACGATCAAAGAACGAATTTAAAATCATATTTTTATATAAAAGATATAAAATTCATTTTATGATTTATGAAATATTTTATGCTATAAACTTTCATTTAACAATTTATTATTTTATAAATTCATTATTTCATTGTATAATTTTTATATTTTACAAGCAATAAAAATAATAAATTTAACAAATCATTGTTAAATATTTATCAATAAGAGATTAATTTATGCTTTTTCAACTTTTTATGATAAAAATTCCTTCATAAGATCGCTTATTTAGATTACCACATTTATATAAATGCATGAATACTCACCGTATTTCATTGCAAAATATCAAGCGATAAAATCAATTACGAATCATTTTCATGATTTTCCTACTTTCCATCTTCATTCACACTATATCCTTCTTCATTCATTCTGGTAATTCATTTATTTTTTTGCCAGACAAAAAAATGAAAGCACCTATTTTTTTGAGCTAGCAAAAACGAATGCAAAAAATTTAAATACTGTATTTAGGAGAGATTCAGAAAGAAGAAATCTTTTTAATTCATAAGATTTTTGAATTTAGCATGAAGAACCTAAATTATTTTTAATAAAAGCATTGCAGGTTGTAATCCCAGAATCCCAGATCATCCGATATTCTATATCAATGCGCGTAATTTGACGACCAACAAAGGTATCGTAATATGTCAAATATTCGAGAATTATTCGAGCGAAATGAGACGAATATATTTTCTTATATAAGAACAACCATGACAGAAAACCGTAGACTAGGCCCTTAGATTTCCTTTTCTTAGAAGAGGGGAACATAATGGTAATTTTTTTAAAAGCCCATCTGGTTTCATTTCTTAAAAAAATTATTTAATTATCGAAGAATAATAAACACTGTTTATTATTTTATTTTTTTTATTATTTTATTAAAGCTTCTGCTGATACCGCAGCAGATTTGAATTGTCATTTATTTGATCATTCGTGCCACTGGACCAATAGTTATTTTTCGAATTTCACGTGGTATGGAGCTGATCATCCAATACATGATTTCCTAATGCAGGTTGTAACGAATTTTCTCTTTAATACAAACTTTAAATGATTCATTTAATTTTTAATTCGCGTTTTTTACAATTCTCATTAAAAGTTTTTTCAGTTTCAAATATCGAAAATTTTATGAAATTTCATTGGGAAATAAAAAATATGTTTTATTTATCATATTCTTCATTCTCCTTTTTTTATCTTATCAAATTTATCTTTTATTTTAATTTTTTATCATAATTTTTTGATGCATTTCCTACAATATTGCCAGCTAAAGAAGAGTAAAACTGTTATAGATTGCTACAGGCAGTCGTAGTGCACCAGTGGATGGATACGCAATAGTAACTGCGAACGAATCGTATGAACCAGATGCTAATGCAATTTTGGAGAGCCCTATTATTAAATGTCAAGCCGGGAAAGGAATATTATCATTTGAGTAATAATTTCATATTTATTCTTATTTTAAATTTCATATTAATTTATTCAGAGCTTATTGTTTCAAAGAATCTACTTTATTTTCTATTTTATCCTTATTGTTTTAGATATTGGATAAGTATGGGTGTCAAACTTGAAGTTTGTACAGAATTCTTGGATAATTGGGATATTAAGTGCGTTCAAATCAACCCAACAGCAACCATATGGCATCAGTACGCACATGTGGAGATTCCTAATAATGACAATTGTTCATTGATGGTACATACATTTTTTCTAAATATTTCCTAAAAAAAAATCCAAAAATTCAATTTTGGAAAATCGAAATTGAAATGATTTTTAGCTAATAATTCACTTGATTAAATTAATGAAAAACCTGAAACAATGAAAATTTGTATGATAATTTATATATTTATATGACAAATTTACTGGTTTTTCCCAAGTTTTTCATCCAAAAATTTCTTTGAAGTGATTTTTTTGGATAATAAAAGGCTGAAGTATTTAATTTCATAATTTTCTACAATTTTGGAGAGAATAGGATGATTAGATAAAATCGACTTAAGAGAGTTATTATCACACGCTTTATCACTATTGTATAATTTGATTGTTAAAATTAGATAAGTTGGCCAGTCATTTTGCTTCAATTAAGCTATCATAAATTCGATGTATTTCTTAACGGCAATGAACTGTATCGGTATAGTATAATGAGTGCTTTTTTTCAAAATAGCATTATAATAATTTGCATATAAATGGCTAAAGTAGTCAACCAAGCCAGAAATGGTGAGATTGTTAGAAAAAGACAATTGATCACAATTGATTTTCTTGTTGTTCTTCTACTGATTACTGATTGCTCTTCTGGCTATAACCGACACGAAGATGTAGAGTTTTTGAGCAACATGCGGTTCTCGCTTTCAATAGGATTTAATCTCATTTAAAAGTGAAAAACGAATCCATGATACTGAGTTTCTATCGTGCCAAAGGCTCAGCTGTATCATTTTATTTCTTTGGGATTATTTTTTCAGATTTCTATCAGATTATCGAATTTTGTCTACAATTCAGCATTTATGAAGATAGGATTCGGCGTTATTGATAATATTAAGTATCAAGCTACTTTGTGCGATCCATCAGCAAGTTGTTCAATAACAACGGTATCGTGAAAAGATATTCATTTTCATATATGATTTATAGAAATTTGTATAAAGAAGTAAAAATCTCCTGAAAATTATAACTGTAATTTAATAATTTCATAGTGATTTTAAATGCGTTTTCAGCCGCACTATGACGTATTTGAGGACACTACGCTATCCCCTGTTGAGACCAGAGAACCAGCGCCTACAACAGCAAGAACAATTAATGAACCAACTACTGAGCCAAATGCAATTTCAAGCACTGAAAACCACGAAAACCAAATTGGAACGGATCACTGTCCAGTAATTACAATATATGTAACTGAGCCTTCAACCGTAACAACAGCAAGTACGATAGAGGCCGAAATTGAAGGTTATGAAGACGATACTGAAAATGGAGGTAGTGCAGAAAATGTTAGTGATGCTCCATCTTATAATGATGAAGAGATCAAACCAGATGTTAATGCTGGTAATAATGTGAATAACAGCGCAGTAACCCAGCCACCGGCTAATGAAGCTACTTTTGTTCCGCTTATGCCTTTCCACTATGACGATGAAAGCACCGATCAAGCTCCTCCTGATCCTTCCTTCCTTGATTACAGTAGTAATGACGATGATACGGATGATAACTGAAAATGCATGTAGTAAAATATATTTCATTATACTCTAAAAGATTCTTTTTATTTTATATTATATCGATTTATTAAAATATTTTTTACAAAAATTCGCAATAAATATTTAAATATTCGCTGAATTTCGACTTTTAAATTCAAAATTTTAATTTATATTTATTGCAAATTTTAAATTTTTTTAAATCATTTTTTAAATTCATTTCATCGAATTTTCGTATATTTGAAAGCATATAATTTAAAATATTTAAATCGAAATAAAATTGTTGAAAATTATAATTTCGAATCAATTAAAATGATAAAACTGATATGAAATGCAAGTTTTAATCAATTAAAATTGATTTTAATCGCTAATTTTCTAAAGCCTAAGAATGCCTTAAAAATAAAAGAAAATTTTTCGCAACAATTTAAAGCAAAGCAAATATGATAAATAGTCACATTATTCAAATTTTTCTTTTTTCTGAGGCCTAAAAAAAATTGGATTTGTTAAGCCTTATAAAGCCTGATTTGATGATTGAGCCTTGGCACTATGAACGATTCCGTGTATTTCTTTCTATCAACTCATAATTTCCATAAATGCCCTCAAATTATGATAATCAAAATAATAATAGCCTGAAAGTAATTAGCTATTTATCATCAGTTTTAGTTGTTGCATAAAAATTTTAGTTCTATTCATGGTCCCTGTAGATTATTGGATAGGATGCTACTAAAAATAAGAAATAAATGAAATTAAGAAATAAGAAATAAATAAGAAAAATAAGAAAAAAACTACTAATATTTTTACCGAGAAAATTTTATCTTTTGATTTATTCAATTTTCATTTTTATAGTTAAATTCGATGATAATAACAATAAAAATATGATATTAAATTGTAAAACCCTTCTATTATAAAAACTATTGTAAAACATCGAAAATACTTTATTTTTACCACATTAAATGAATAAAAATATTGAAAAGAACGAGTTGAACTTCCGCAGAAGCCTTAGGCCTATCTACTTTTTGATATTTTGATGAAGTATAGGCCTTACATTCCGCATCACTCTTATATTGTTCACCATTTTCATAAAATTTGCTGCTGCATTTTTGTCCACTAAAATATACAAATCTTTTTTTAAATTCTATCAAATACAACTACCATGAATCAATAATTTAAACATAAGAAAATACAAACATATGCAATTAATTAACCAATTATAAATTATAATAAATTACAAATTTAATTATAAATAGAAATTGCCAATTTTTTTTCTCTTCTGCAACCAACTTTAGTAGTGTGAACTGTGATTATCTAAAATGTATCGCATCTGATAAATAGGATGAAAGGTGTGAATAAGTGATAGTCTTTTAAATTTTCTGCTCATATTAATGAAAAATATGTTTTAAAAATATGTTTCAAAAATATGTTTTAAAATTAATTATCATACACGAAATAATAATTTCAGTCTTAAACGATGGTTCGATATTTTTGATTGGTTTCAAATTTTATTTTTGATTTTAAACTTTACAAAAGTTTTAATTTTTTCATTTTTTATTAATTTATTAATTTATTTTTTATTCATTTTTTATTATTTGCTAATATTTTCTCTTCGCAGCAGTAAATATTGAAACTAAAAATTTTGTTATGAATCCACATGTATTTTATTCCTTATTTGACTCTATGGTGAAGCAATAAAACCAAACTGAATCTTTTTTGATTCTAACTATTGGTATAAGTGATAAGTGATAGATGTGATAAAGTGATAGATGAAAAAAAAATCTGATGACAGATAGCGAAAGCTTTTAGATTTGTCAAAGAATTACCGATAACCGATCCGCTCGACTTAAAAATATTAGTGCTCGATCCTTGCCATCAGTTTTATTTATGCATTTATTTATATATAATCCAAATTATATCTTAAAGATGCCCAAACCTTCACGATATATACCATGAAAAATTTTTTAGTTCCCTCTAAAGAAAAAGATAGAAATAATAGTAGAAAAGATCGTTTTTGCATTAGGGAAAGACCAATTCTTACAGCTCCATAATATGTTTTCTGATCTGTCCATAATTTGCTTCAGATTGGTGATCTTAACTGAATGATCTTAACTGAAATATATGCGGATCGAAAAAATTGGTGCATTTATCGGTACAAAATTGGTACATTTAAATTTGGTACAAATTGGTACATTGGTACCTTTTAATCACAATCTCTGAGAAATCAAAAATCGTATAGATTTGTGGCTAACATGTCAAAAATGCCAAAAATTTTTCTTGCCATTGTTCTCTTTTTACATCTTGCAATGGAGATAATCAAAAGATATGGCAAATATATCTTTCATTATTTTATAATATTCTACTGTTACATGGTTTATCTGGTATTTTTTTCGCTAAATATCCTCTGAAATTTGAATTAGTTTATCGCTATCGATAAAGAAATACCTTTGAACATAATGGCAAATTATTATTGAAGCATTCAGCTATTCCACAGACTAGTTTGCTTGCCTTACGTCCATGCCACCTTAAAAAATATTCTACGCTAACATATATGAATTTACCTATCACTGAATGTATTTTCTACAAAGATCTGACATCTGATTTATTCAATTCCAATTTCGTTAACATTTCAAAAAATTTCCACATACGATGGATAATGAATTTTAAAGTAGTGGAAGAGCTTCAATTTGCAAAACTATTTGAAATGGCGATAGGGCACCAAAAATAATACCGAATTTCTGTCCATCTGGCTTCCCTATAATGGCAGACTCTTAAATCGCATATTGAAATTCAGCTAGGCTTTGTTGATAAAAATCAGTCTTATCAGTCTTAATAATTCTTTTCGATATCTAAACATTTCCTCCATATTTGAATTTTTTGGCGTATAACTGTTCAGCGTTTACTAATTGAGATTCAGTTGTGTTCATCTATTATTTTGCTTTTTAGTCGCATCTTTTCAATAATTTTTAATTTCAGTAAAAATCGATATGAAATTTATTTACTTTTTATTTTATTTACTTTCACTTATCTATTTATTTTCAAATTTTATTAAATTTTATTAAATTTCAAATTGGATTTACAAATTTCTCCCCACTTTCACTCGGTGGGAAAGTTGATTTAAATGAAAATAGAGAGGAAATTGCGAAGAATTGGTGAGTTGAAGCTTGTATAAGAAAAAAAATGTCAATTCCACTGCCAATAGTATATTGAATTGCACTTATATTTTATTTTTATAAATGTTATTTTAATTTTTTTATTTTTTAAATATTTAAATATTTTCGATCATTTTTTTAAATATTTTCTTTTTAAATATAAATATTTATTATATTTTGTGAACATTTATTTTATATTTTTTTCGTACATTTATAATAAATTTTTTAATAATAAAGTAATAAAGTTTAATTTTCGACTTTATAAATAAAACTGTATGCAAATTATGCGAAAAAAATTTTGCTCCATTTTCTTTTGGGTGAATAATAATTCAGCTAAAATACCATATAAATGGAGTATAAGTTGGAATTCACGTGGAGTTTTCGATTTTATTTTAATTTTCAGGCATTCAATATTTACTTTTTTGGTTTAATAATAATCAGTTTACATGAAAAAAAGCTTTGGCTACTATGTCTGACTTAGTTTTCTTCTGGATTTTTTATTGCGTTTAGATTTTCGATGTCCTTAAACTTTCCTTTTTACAAGCGTTTTTTGTTTAATTCGTTGCGTACAAAGTTTTTATTTCTTAAAAAAATTCTTAAGATTTTGAAAATTATTTAATTTTTTGATTTATTTCTTTAACTTATTTAATTTTTCTGCGCTTCATTCAATTTCGAATCTTATGCGATTGAATTTCTATTCTTTTCTATCATTTTTTCCAGATAGAATATTTTAGAATTTCTGAAAAAATTAAAAAATTAAATATAAATTAAATTAACTTGAATAAATTAAATAAATAGATATAAAATTTAAATAAGAAGTGAAGCAATAAAAATACAAAAAAAAAAATGAAAATAAAAAATATAGTTTATTCTCCTTTTTTAATTTTTTTTTTTTAAAGATAAATTTTGCGTCTTTTAGGTTTTTTTTAAAATGTAACTCTATCTCCAAGTAATTTTACCGTGAAAGGGTCTGATTTTGATACTCCCAGCCCGATGTTATTTGCAATTCGTAGTATGCATGAAAACCTTCGATAAACACGAAATTTTGCGTTTTAATTTCGTATTTTAAATTTGCGATTCTTTTACAATTGATAATTCTATAATTAGGAAATTTCCCATCGAAAATAACAAATATCACAAGTCATTTCCTATTTAACAATTTTCTGAATGTTTTACACAGCGATTTTACAAGCTGAACAAATTCCATTTTGAAAATATGTTTACATCATTTTGAATAATTATCTGCAATTAATACAAGCAGCCATAATCATAATTTGATTATAATTGTGATATAGAAGCGAAGTCAATCAGTAGCCAGGCCTAAGCTTTTGTTCGAAGCTCAAAACAAGGAATCCGTATAATTTTTTCTAAATTTTTATTTCGATAGAGAGCCTAAAATTGTTTCGCTTCTTTCTATAATTTGGAGTTTAGCGTTGCAGTTTATGCTGATGGTGGCCATGAAAATTCGAACAAAAGTTGCCTTACAGCATCTATTTTATTTTTAAAAAAATACTACAGATTTGATAAATTGATACCGATTTAGTGAGAATTTTCCGACAACCACGCGACTCCAATATGTTTCATGAATTCTACAATTCT